ATTGGGCCGGCCGGGGGGCACGGCGGGGCCCGTCCTGCGCGCGGGGGTGCCTGGCTCCCTGCCCACGCACACAAACGCCAGGGCTCCCTGCCCCACACCCTGTGCCCCATGGATGCATGTGCCAAGGCTCCCTGCCCCATGCATTATGCCCCATGGATGTGTGTGCCTAGGTTCCCTGCCCCACACACTGTGCCCATACCTTTATGCGCCGGCCTGCCCTGCCCCACGGGCCCTGCGCCACATACCCCATGCTGCCCCACACGGCACCCCCCAACGTTGCTTTCCCCCACAGATTCTCGAGGACTTGCTGGAGATCGACCGCGTCACGGCCCATTTCTGAGCGCGTCGCTCTGGACCCATGGGGAACCACAGGGACCCACCAGGACCACCCCTTGGGGCCCACGGAGCACCCTGGGAACCACAGGGACTCATGGGGAACCACGGGGACCAACAGAGCCCCACCAGGACCATGGGGAACCACAGGCACCCAAAGGGACCAATATAGCCCCCTGGGGCCCACGGAGCCCCCCAGGAACCACAGGGACCAACAGAGCCCCACCATGACCCACAGGGAACCACCGGGACCCAGAGAGCTCCCCCAGGACCCAGAGAGTCCCCCAGGAACCACAGGGACCCCCTTGGCCCAGCAGAGCCCCCCGGGCCCCACGTAGCCCCCTGGGACCCCCAGAGTCCTCAGGGACCCCCAGGGGCACACTGAGCCCCCCAGGACCCACAGGGCCCCCCCGGACCCCACGTAGCCCCCCGGGCGCTGGCGGGACCCGCTGTGTCCCCATGGCCCATGTGGGCACCTCCCTGCGTTTCTCTGTTCCCTGTGGGGACCCACCCTGTCCCTTACAGGGACCCCGTATCTCCTATGGGACCTCCCTGTGTCCCCCTGTCCCCTGTGGGGACCCCCTTGTATCCCCATGTCCCCCTATGAGGACCCCCCTGTGTCCCCATGTCCCCTGTGGGGACCCCTTTGGCCCCTATGGGGACCCTCCCTGTATCCTCCTGTCCCCCTATGAGGACCCACCCTGTGTCCCCATGTCCCCCTCTGAGAACGCCCCTGTATTCCCATGGCTCCTGTGGGAACCCTCCCGTGTCCCCACGTCCCCTGTGGGGACCCCCGCTGTGTCCCCCGTGCCCCGCGGGTCCCCCCGCTGTTACCTGAGGGCCACCTCGAACT